GAAGAGTTTCTGAAGGAGTGGTATTAATTCTTCTTTAAACATTTGATAGAATTCCCCAATGAAGCCATTTGGTCCTGGGCTTTTCTCTAGTGTGTGTGGAGGGTATTATTTGATATGCATTTTTGATTCCCAGTGACACTAAAATTTTTATTTTGTTTTTTACTGTTGTTTCTACTTGTTACTTTTTTTTTTGTTTTTCTTTTTAATTTTAACTCCAGTAGAGTTAACATACAGTGTTATATTTGTTTCAGGTAATAGTGACTCAACACCCAGTGTTAGTCACAAATATACTCCTTAATTTCCATCATCCATTGACACTAACATTTTAAAAAATATTGTTTTCACTTACAATCCTTTTAGGTACATCTGAAATATTAATCCTTGTATTGATCTTTCAATCGCTGCATGCATCTGTTCACAATGTTTTATATAAAATAGGTTTATACAGGTATTCCCCAGTTTTTGGAAGTTCACATTATGCTACTATGCTTTTGTGGAAGACCTATATCAGTACTTGTTTTTAGTAACTGAAAGAAATCTGAAGATGTTTTTCACTTTCACAAAAATAGGCGAAAGTTGAAGGTTGCACTCAGCGTTGGTTTTGTAGCAAGCCGTTATAGAAGCAATGCAAACCCCAAACAATGAGCAGCCTTGCCAAGCTCCTTCCCTGAGAACTGTACACAGTATTTCAGCATCAAGCAAGCTGCCAGAGCTTTGAGCTCTGTGAGCATCTGCACTTTATTCCCATTTATTTTGTGCATATATTAGCAAGATGTGTCCTGAAGTATCAGAAATGGCTTTACAAGGTTATTTTTGGGGGCCTGAAAATAAAAGATTTTCCAAATACAATACATTAATGGTAATTGCTTCTTAACCTTAACATCATTTTGACTTAATGAAAGTTTTCACAGGAATGGTCTACTTTTGGATAGTAGAAGAAAACTATAATACTTTTTAACATCTGTAAAGGGCAAGTTTCTCTTCATTACTCTTACTATTTTAAAGGATAGCTTTTTAAAAGGTAAAATCATAACTGTCATGAAGACAAAAAGTGAATATTAACATTTATATCTCCTAAAATATAGAGTTTATGTGATCTCATTAATTCATGAGGAAACCAGTAAGATGTGACAACAGTTTTGAAAGAATTCAATGAGCCACACATATCAAGGCAGAACTAGCTTATTTCATAGGTAGAAGATGTATACTCATCAGAGTTCTCCAGAGATAAGATCCACGAAGATACACAGATATATGTAGATAGAAATGTTAGTGATATATCAGAGATTTTTATTGAACTTGGCTTATGTAGTCATGATTGCTGAGAAGTTTCATAGTCTGCCATCTGCATGCTGGAAGACTAGAAAATCTGGTGGTTTTAACTTATTCTGAGGCTGAAGGCCTGAGAACTAGGGATTTCCATGTTTGAGTGCAGGAGAAGATAGATACCCCAGCCCAAGGAAAAAGAAAATAATTCATTATTCCTTCAACTTTTGGTTCTATTCAGCCCTCAGTGGATTGGATGATGCCCACAGCATCAGAATGAATTTTCTTTACTTGGTTTATTGATTCAAATGTTAATCTCTTCTGGAAACATCCTCACAGACATACCCCAAAACAATGTTTTACCAGCTCTCTAGGCATACCTAGCCCAGCCAAGTAGCCAAGTTGACCTGTGAAATTAACCATCACAGAAGGGAACTCAACGTCCTTCATCAGCTATACTTCATTTGTGTGTTATTGGCTATTGTATTAGTTGGCTAGGGCTGCCATAACAAAATGCTACAGACTAGGGGGTTTAAACAACAGAAATTTTATATTCTCTAGTTCTTGAGGCTAGAAGCCCAAAGATTAAGGTCCTGCCTGCAGGCTTGGTTTCTGGTTAGACCTTGCCTTGTCTTGCAGACAGCAGCCTTTTGCTATCTTCAGATGGTATTTTCTCTATGTGCATACTCCTGGTTGGTGTTTTGTATAAAGACACCAATCCTATTGGATTAGGACCCCACCATATGACCTCATTTAATCTTAATTATCTCCTTAAAAGGCCCTATCTCCAAATATACTCATATTGGAGGTTAGAGCTTCAATATAGGAATCTGGGAGAAAGAGGGACACAATTCGGTCCACGACAGTTAGCTACAGTATGTAAAGCTAAGTTGTAAAGTTGCTCAATGAAAAGTATAGAGATTCCATAGAATCAGATACCTAGATGATGCCTAACTTTCCATTGAAGATATTTTATAATCTTTTTAATCCTTTCAAAAGTCATTCACATTTTTCCCTACAATTAAAAAAAGTATATGCTATTCTTATGCTTATTTATCCAAATGAATTTTACAATACTCTTGTATAGTTTTGAAAACTGTGCTACAATTTAAACTAGCATGGTTTTAAATTTTTAAAACATGGTGAGAGGAATCTTACATTGGTATTTTACTCTATGTTTCCATCCAGGAACATCTGGCTTTTTTTTTTTTAACTCTCATTAAATCTTTGTGTTTTTCATCATTCGGATTCTGAACAATTCTTAATTTCAAAGCAATTTATCTTGGTATGGTGAGGTAAATTTCTCTTTCCTTTGTAAAAGTTTTTAAATAGTTATCACTGGAACTTAGTGGTTTTTAAAAATAATGAGTTTTGTACCCGTTGTCTTACATTTATTTATTTTTTTATATTCATCCTTATAGCTGGGTAAATTGAGAATGTAAGTAACTTGACCACTCATAGTTCCAGTAAGAACAAATTGATTGCATCTAAGAATAGTGTGTCTATCTCTGCAATGTGTACAAGTGTGTGTTGGGAGGGGGCTGGGTAGGAACTTGAGACAACTATCTTAAGGATGCCTTCTTGGAATCAACACTATTTATCTTGGAAACCTAGATTCCCAGAACTGGATTAACCATTTCCTATGATATCTCCTCTCCTGGATTTGGAAGGACTAGGAAACAAGGGGTTATTGTACATGTAATGAAGTTCCTTGAGATCCACAGTCCATCAGCATACAAATTACCTGACTGCATGTAGCTGTTCCTCAGATTTCTGGATACTACTGTGAAAAAAATGTTTTGATTTAGATGTTATCCCTTTGCTCTTGGAATACTCCGCTTTCTCTGAGAGAGTTCAAGGCTTATTCAAATCTACTTTCTTACAAAGTAAGTGGCAATCTCATGAGTGCTATAGTACCAGTAAGCATTCCCTAGGATACCTACAGAGATCATCTGGAAGGGATTGTTTTAACAGATAAGCAATGCAGATAAAACCAGTCCATTTCGGAGAACATATACCAGCCCAGAGAAGAGTATGCTTGGTTTTAAAGCTCCAGTCTTTTATTTACCAACATAGAAATGCATGTAGATTTACTCTACATGCATTAAACCCCTCATGGAGACTTAGAGCAAATGCTTTTGATGCGCTGATCTTTTGAAACCAAACATCTTTCTAAATAGAGGAACTACCGTATTCTCACATATTCCTAGAGGCTTTCTCTAACCCCAGTGTACCCCCCAAACTGAATTACTCCTTGTCTGACATCTTACACCACCACCTCATTTTACTCTTCTAGGGGCATTTTGTGGTGTTCATCCTGCCCATGGATCGCACCTCTCTGCGGAGGTCCTGTGTGATCCCAGCACCTCTCACTGAATTTAGGCAAATGCTTTGCATATAGTAGACACTTGAGACTAAGAAATTTTCTGGATGAATATTTGACTAATCCGTAGTGCCTGTTCTATTCTACTGAAAATTCCCCAAATCCAATTAACTTCAATTTTGTAGTTCGGGATTCTCAGAAAACTACCCTCCCTCCTAGAAACACCTAACCATTTCCCAGGGCTGGTGCCAGCTTCGGAGTAAGACAGTAGCACCCTTCTATCACACAAGGGGTTGAGGCCTCTCCTCGTCTTTCCACGTCGTCTACTTCAAGCCAGGGTGGTAGAAGGAAAACCTTTTTCTCCCAGCAATGCGGTCTGCTCCCCTCCTCTGGCCTCTTTCTTTCCTTTTGTTAGTCAAAGATTTCAGCCTCGCCTGCAAGCTTACCGGTGTGCGCCCCACGCAGGCCCCCCGTCTTCTGGAGATCAGAGGTGTTCAAAACTCACACGGGACACAGAATCCCCCCCCCATTTCCGATTCCTTTACTTCTGGGGGGGGGAGTGGAAATCGTTTCTTGGCTTTGAATCGCTGACAAGGAAAAAGAAGGGGGTGGGGGGAGAAAGTTGCCTTTAAACGTTTCAAAGTGGAGTCACGGGGGTGGCACAGCCAAAGCTCCGCAGCGTGGACACGGACCCCGTGCGGCCGGGCTGGCGCGACTTCGGGGGAATTTCGCGGGGTCGAGCCCCGGAGCCGCCCCCCCCCCCCCGCCCCCGCTCGCCTCGCCCTCCGCACCTCCCCGCCCCGCTGCGCTCGGGCCCCCCCGGCTGCTGTCGCGCGCTTGCGTGCTGCGGCCGCGGCTCCCGACCCAGAGGCCGGCCCCACAAAGCCCCGAGCGAGGAGGGGGCGGCGCGCAGGAAGGGAGGAGAGCGGGGGCGCGGGGGGCGGGGGGCCTTCGGGGGTGGGGATGTAGAAGATGTGACGCCGCGGCCCGGCCGCTGCCAGACGGCGGACGCGGTGCCCGGGGCTGGCTGCTGGTCCCGGCGCTGCGCTAGGGGAGGCGGCCCTCCCGCGAGCGGCGGCCGCGGACACGCCCGGCCCCGGCCCCGGCCCCGAGCGCAGCTCCCCGAGCCCGAGCGCAGCTCCCCGGCCCCGAGACCGTGCTCAGCTCCCCGGCCCCGGGCGCAGCTCCCCGAGCCTGAGCGCAGCATCCCGGCCCGCGCCCAGCCCCCGGCCCCGCGCGCAGCTCCCGGCCCCGCGCGCAGCCCCCGGCCCCGCGCCCAGCCCCCGGCCCCGCGCGCAGCCCCCGGCCCCGCGCGCAGCCCCCGGCCCCGCGCGCAGCCCCCGGCCCCGCGCGCCAGCTCCCGGCCCCGCGCGCAGCTCCCGGCCCCGCAGCCCAGCCCCCGGCCCCCGCACCCAGCCCCCGGCCCGCGCGCCAGGGCAGCCGGCGAGGGGAGCGGCCGGGCGGCGCGAGGCTGGGGGCCCGCGGGCGCGGCCGCGCGCTGCCGGGCGGGAGGCTGGGGGGCCGGGGCCGTGGCCGCGCCCCGGACCGGGTCGGGGGCCGGGGCCGGGGGGCGGCGGCGGCTCCTCGCGCGGCTCCGGGGGCGCGGACACCCCGGCAGAGCCCCGGGGGGCCCATGGCAGCCGGGAGCATCACCACGCTGCCCGCCCTGCCGGAGGACGGCGGCAGCGGCGCCTTCCCGCCCGGCCACTTCAAGGACCCCAAGAGGCTGTACTGCAAGAACGGGGGCTTCTTCCTGCGGATCCACCCCGACGGCCGGGTGGACGGGGTCCGGGAGAAGAGCGATCCCCACGGTGAGTGCCGGCCCGCCCTTCCTCGCGCTCGCTGCGGTTCCCCCCGCCGCCCCATTCCCGCCCCTTCCTTCCCTTCCCTCCGACCGCAGCGGGACGTGTGGTTCCTTTCCGCGCGGCCCTCGGCGCGTTCGGCTTCACCCCTCGCCCGCCCGCTCCTCGCCGGAGCTGCGGCGGCGGGTTAGGCGCTTCCCCAGGCTCCGGGTAAACCCGGGCCTCGCCGCCCGCCCCCCCCGCCCCCCGCGCCCCCCGCGCGGACCACCTGTTGCCGCGGGGATGCCCTGCGCGCCCCGGACCCGGGAGCCCAAGCAGGAGGGACCCGAGCGGGATAAATGCTCCTTATTGGAAAATACCTTCCCAGAGTCGTGCCCTTAAACTCCGATTTGGTAGGATCCGAGCCAGCTGGCACGCTGCTCCCACCCATCTCTGTCCTTTCCTTCCCTTTCCCTTTTCTTTTCTTCTTTCTTTCTTTTTTTTCTTTCTCTCCCCTTTTCTCTTCTCTTCCCTTCCCTTTTTTCTTTTTTCTTTCTTTCTTTTTCTCTTTTCTTTCTTTCCTCTTCTCTTTCTTCTTTCCTCTTCCCTTTTCTTTCTTTACCTCTTTCTTTCTCTTTCTTTCTTTCTTTCTTTCTTTCTTTCTTTCTTTCTTTCTTTCTTTCTTTCTTTCTTTCTTTCTTTCTTCCTTCCTTCCTTCCTTCCTTCCTTCCTTCCTTCCTTCCTTCCTTCCTTCCTTCCTTCCTTCCTTCCTTCCTTCCTTCCTTCCTTCCTCCTTCCTTCCTTCCTTCCTTCCTTCCTTCCTCTCCTTCCTCTCCTCTCCTCTTCCTCTTCCTTCCTTCCTCTCCTCTCCTCTCCTCTCCTCTCCTCTCCTCTCCTCTCCTCTCCTCTCCTCTCCTCTCCTCTCCTCTCCTCTCCTCTCCTCTCCTCTCCTCTCCCTCCCCTCTCCTCTCCTCTCCTCCTCCTCTCCCTCCCCTCCCCTCCCCTCCCTCTCCTCTCCTCTCCTCTCCTCTCCTCTCCTCTCCTCCTCTCCTTTCTTTCTCTTTTCTTTCTCCTTTCTCCCTTTCCTTCCTTTTCTCAATTACCAAAAGCTTTCAGGGCAAAAGATATGGACTTTGCTAATAAAGTGCGACACACTTTTCTTTTAATGGTGACAAGAACTGCAAAAACTTTAATCTTCCACCTGCAGTTATTAGTTTTGGGACCTTGAGCCAGGTTCCTCATTCTTAAAGTGGGGATAATGTCTACCTTGCATCAGGTTTGAGGATCAGATGAGAATTTCTCCAAAGTGCGCAGAGGACTCGGTTTACTACTGTACACTTTTGTGTTCAGTAAAAAACAATCCATTTGTGGTATAGAAGTAACACTAGCCTACAGTCATTGGTTCTCAAACTTGAGGGGTGCGTTAGAATCACTTGGGGGTGGTGGGGGTTATAGCCATTGCCCAACCTTGTCTCCCAGAGTTTCTGATTCCTGAAGGCTGGAGTGAAGCCTGATGATTTGCATTTCTAACAAGTTCCCAGGTGATGCTGACCTGGGACCACACTTTGAGACCCAGCAATGTATAGAAAAGAGGAGGAAAGGGGCATGAAATGGACTGATTAACAACACTGATGGAATTTGAAGTGAAAGAGGATCAGTATATTTTAACTGTCATCCTGTAAGAGTGCGTAAAACATCCGTTTTAAAAGCTGTGTGTCTGGCCTTCCTTAGTGGTTTTTCAGGTGAAGAATCCAATCCTCTGTTTGCCTGACAAAAGACCAGCAGGAGTCCAGAGCTCCACTCCACAGCAGTTACCTCTTTATCATAAGTTGCTCATGGAATGTCTGTCATTCACACCTGCGGAGCCATAAGTAGAGGCCACCTGAGTTGACCTGAGCTCAAGCAACCTGAGTTGACAAATGAATGGGAAATGTGCTTTTATATTGCTCGAGTATTTATTGATTCCAAAATAGCAACAAGCAAATGATACAGGTCTTTAATTTTTTTTCAGGCCTGCCATAGTTTTTGGATTTTATTAAGCACCCACATGATCCAGTAAAACTGAAAAGATACTTGCAACCCAATAAATATGTGTTAGTACCGTTTCTCTATTTTAGTAACTTGAATAGGTTTCACAAACTTAAGTTTTAAACTTGTGTTTGAAGTTTATTTTGCAGTTGGCTGCTAGGATAGCGCAGCAGATTAGGGCCAGGTGCCTATATGTCCCAAATAGTCTTGTTCTTTTCTAGTAGCACAAATGGTCTGTAATTAAAAATAAGTAGAGATGCCTGGGTGGCTCAGTGCTTGAGCGACTGCCTTCAGCCCAGGGTGGGATCCTGGGGTCCTGGGATCAAGTCCCAGTGCTCCCTGCATGGAGTCTGCTTCTCTCTCTCCCTGTGTCTCTGCCTCTCTCTCTGTGTGTCTCTCATGAGTAAATAAATAAAATCTTAAAAAAAAAGAATAATAAAAATAAAAAAGGTATGTTCTATGATTAGAAGACAGAAGAACTCTCCTCCAGATTAGGTTCATGTTGAGACTTCCCCTAGTACTTTCTTTTTTTTAAAGACACTTATTAATTGCTGCATCATTTTTTTTCTTCGAAGCTTTTGATACTCTTTCCTTTAGAATAAAACTGTACAGGGGCTAGTGTGGGAAGATAATTCTGAATTGCCATAGCACACTACTGCCCTTGTAATAACAGGTGTTAACTTTTTCTTCCTAACTATGAGTTTTTCATAATCTTATTTTAATTCACTGGTTCTCAGAGCGGGGGTGATTTTGCCCCTGCCCTCCCACCCCCAACGTGGGAGCTAAATTGTGAGCTGACGCCACAGCTGACCAGGACCGGAATTTAGGGACGGGTGGTAGAAATGTGAGGTGCTGATTAGGGATGGGGGGTGTGGCACAGGTGCAGAAGGGGAGATGGGGCAGGGGGGGCAGACCAGAAATGAAAGGGGAGGGAGAAGGTGACTGAACATCAGTTTTCCATCTTTGAAGCATGATTGAAGGTCACCTTGGCCTCATGCCTGGGTATTCTCCTATGGTGTTTTTGCTTGAAAGGGCTGGTTTTCCTGCACGATCCCCCTAGTCCTAGAGTGACTTTTATTTGACATGAGAGTTTTGATGAAAGCAAGATAGACTACCTGTTCTCCAGCGTGTGTGCTGCTCACCCAGCTTCCCTTTGGTGTCTTGGATGTTTTGATTGTCCTCTTCACATGTCCATGGATTGTGTACCATGCAGTATATACTCTGAAGTCATGACCCATATAAAAACTTCAGAAAAGAGAACATTTTATCCCACGTAGCACGTACAACACGTGATAGAGTGTAGTAAGTGAGATGTACGCTGGCTGCTTATGTATGTTTTAGCATTAAATTTGTTCCAGATGCTCTTAGGAGAAGATGGAGGTGGTTAGCGGCGTTGCTTCTACCCTTGGGCTTCTCCTAGGAGGTGACCGCCTGTTTGCCATACTTCTCTGCTTCTAGGCTCTAGAGGATACTGAGACTTGGAGAGGCAAGAGGGACCTGCCCACTCCTGTGTGGGGCAGGGATGGGATCCAGGCCCGCCTGACACCCCTGCCCTTTGCCACGGCACGTATCCCATGTAATTCCGGTCATAAAAACAAGGGCTTGTGAAATTCAGAGGCATCAGACCTTTTAGTTCCCTGGTCTTGTTTTATAGAAGAGAGTGTTGAGGTTCAGCACAACTGATCACCTGAGTTCATCTGCTGATTTCCCCTGGGCTCATCTCCAGCCAGCTTCTTGCCCACCAGGTCCCCTGCCCACCCCCCCCACCCCCCCCCACCCCCGGCCCTGCTGCACTCTTCCATTCAGTAGCAGAGAGCACCCTCTGGGGCACCCTTCTGTGGGCTGCTTCCGTAGTGTTGGTGAGGCCAGCCCCCTGTGGAGTGGAGCCCTCTTCCTAGTTCATGGGTGGCCCCTAGTTGTGTTCCTGGGGTATTGGAGAAAGTCACCTTTCATTCTTTTCCTTCCTGGCACTATTGATGCTGGATTCTCTCCTCTCCTCTTTGGGTAATATCTGGCAAGTGGATCCCCCTAATTTGCCTTAATAAACACAGTGTTTATTTACAGTACTGCTATTTACGTGCAGTAAACAAATGAAGAGATCTAATAGCTCACTTAATCATGGAAATCATGTAATTGGTACAGCAATGAAAGAACAATTTATGAGTCATAGATATTACCACACCTTAGAAGCCTTTTAAGAAGAGTTTCATGCCAAGTGACTTCAGCCTAGAAAAGGCAATATCCCCTTGTGACACACCCTGAGGGCTCTCCTTGTGTTTATAAAATGGCCATTGTGTACTTAGACTTTGACAATGGTGTAATGTTGGCGTTCTAAGTATTCCCACTTAGATTTATGATACTATTTTAAATGGCCATGATTTTTAAGTCTAATTTAAAAATAATAATATTACAGATGTAATAAAACGCAAACCATTCTTTATATATTATAAAATTGACTTCATTCATCTACGCAGTGATTCTCAGAAATCCCCATCTGCGTTGCTGAAAAAGGTAATTTTTAGGTCTCACATCATTAGAACTGTTATTTTTAAACCACGAGATGCCTGTACAACAGGATAATAACTACACATGTGCCATAGCCTTTGCTTGTTTTTCCAAATTCCAGTGTTTGTTGATTTTCCAAAAACCCTGTTTGGGCCCCTTTGTCCTGTAGCACACATCTGTTAGAAGGCTGGCCTGGGGTAAGAGTCTAAGACGTGAACTGGAGCAAGGCAAATCGAATTCAAGGCAAAAACCTTAACCCTATGATTGTATTCTATCTAAGCAAATGTATTTTGTTCTGTTGCTTTTGAGCTAGTCATTTGAAATCTGATATCTGGTCTTGTACTGCCTGCTGTCAATGTTCAATAAATATTTACTGCTTGATTGTTTGCAAAATCATTTGGAATATTGTGACATTAGGAAATCATGCAGTTATAGAAACATGATTTTCAGTGTTTCCTTGTTGTATCCATTGTTGGATTTGCTATTGTATTCTCTTT